AGTAGTGCACCAAATAAGGTCATTAGTATCTTGATATGATCTTGAAAGTGAATTAAATGGCTATTGCCCTCTTTATAACACATCTAGCATTGCCAGGTAGCTTATACTGTGCCAATATGATTATAAATCTACTATAGAAACTCTTTCTATTTATCGATAACATTTGTCCGCCAATTTGTATCGAGTCTTAGAGGCAAATATTTTGTCACTGGATTATATATACTCAGAAAAGGAAATAGTATACATGCCGTTTCACATCGTTCTGACAATGATTTATCTGAGATGAGGGAAAGAAATTTTTTTTCATATGAATGGATGAACACAAATACTTGATCACAAAAGTATAACTAATATAAACCTACAAATCGAAAAGAAATAGTTTTGACTGCTTAATCACATAGCAATATGAAATGTTTGAAAAGCCTATGGAAAATATCTGAAAATGACTAGACAAAACAACTAGCAACTTATTGATTGAACTGTTCTCGTATACTCTCAAACTGCTCGACATTATCAATAGCGTCAAAATCTTCGTCATCAAGTTCAGTGTCAGTTGAATCTAAATAAAAATATTTGTGGTTGCAATTTTTAATAGATACGAGATAATTACCATCTCGTTGAATATTTGTTGATGGTGATGCTGATGGTGTGTTTCTTAAACGAGATGAACTCCGTGATGATGACTTCAATATTAAGATAGTTAGTTTGACGAAAATAATAGGTAAATGAAATAAAATGCTTACGGAAGTTGTGTTTTTATTGAATCTTTGAGATGCAATATTAGTTACTGAATCAATTGACATTGAATTGGAATGATCTTTTGATTTCTTATTGTTTGCTAGTTGTCGAACCTGTGTACGTACCTGAAGCAAGATTCAAAATATGGAATATAAGACGTAAAATATGTGTAACTCACTTGTGATGGTGTTAAATATTGAGATGTAGAAAATTTTTTCGTTCCATCATTATTACGAGCTAATCGAATTAAACGAACATATTCTTCAGGAGCGATTTTTCGTCCATTAAGTTTTTCTTCGGCATGGATCTTTTGTATGAATTCTTTAATACTTTTGTCAATACGGTGTGGTGGCTTATGAACTCTCAAAGCCCAACCGGTTTTTTCAAAAAGTGAAAAATGCTTTGGCAAATTATTCGGTAAGTTGTATGTTGTAGTTGTTTGTGAATTAGTTTGAAAATTATTAGCGCCATTGCGCAACCTGAAACCAATAAAATAAAATCTATTGGTGAGATGTATGCTGCATCATTAATGGTTTACTTTTCAAAAAGCAAAACTTTGGCCGTATCATTAGCACTTAATTTACTGTCTTTAGTCGTATGTCGACCAATTAATTCATGAGCAATAAGTTCATCTTCTGATTGAAAACTTTCGATGCAAGCATCAGTAGAACAGAAAAAAAATGACGTATATTTACGATCATGGCGTTCCTTGTTTTCCAAATGAACATTATTATTATTATTAATTCGATTGATTCTAAATGAAAATTCAGCGTTGCTATTAAACATAAAGATTATGTTCTACGTAGTAAAACAAATTAAATTAAGGTAAAAATGTCTTACGGTTCAAATGATTCAATAAGTTTCATATTAATTGGTATATCAAGAGTTTTGAAATTAATAACACGACCGGGACCAATTTCAGATGCTTTACGTAAAACCATATAATCATTCTGATAGACAATATTGCGAATCATACTGATATCGGCTATAGGATAACTATCAATTGAATCCACATTATTGATCACTTCACCAACTCCAATTTTCACATTCTTCACACCACCACAATATTCCATTCCTTTCAATACATTTCGAGGTAAAAAAAATAGCAAGAGAAATAATACATACCAAGTTTTATTTGTGAAGCATTCACAACATCATTTCCAGCATGTAAGTACGCTTTCACGCGCATTTTCGATGCACCAACAATCCTATCGCATATGTCTCTTCCTGCCTGTACTTCAGAGTAATCCCGCATAATTATTTTAATCCCAAGCGAATTCGCTAAAGACCATTCACCTTCAGGTGTTGCATGGCCGCCAAGTACACTAGCGTTGTCTGAACGCTTGACAAGAGTATTAATGTGCGGATAATCATCATGAAATTGTTTTAGGATTAAAAATCCGCCACTCAACGTGGCTTGTTCCGTTTGATCACAACGAGTAAGACACAGTATGTAGGTGCGCGTAATCAGATTCACTATTTTGATAAAAATTTAATAACTGGCTAATTTGATTAATAATAAACTTACTAGATGTATCATAGAATACGAAAGACCCTACTAAAGCACTCATGCCTTTTTTGCCAAAATAAGCAGCTTGTCCTTCACGAAAGCATTGCGGTAAAATCTTTTGTGCCCAGTCAATAGTATGAAAAGCAGTAGTATTAGACATTGATGAAAGTGTTTTTGATTTCACTGTGTCTTGCTGAACTGTGCGAGTACGATGACGAAACATTTCGTAAATATGTTCAACTGCCAAATCGAAATCATACTTTAATTCATTACGATTTTCTTCGTCTGGTTCCTGTTGAATAAGTTTTTCGATGTCGTCAAAGAGCTGTCCAACATTCAAACATTCTAAAAACCCAATCAAATAATTCCCGAGAATATCACGTCCTGTTAATTGATGACGTTCTCAAAATTAATACAATTGATATTACAAAATCTTTTAAGTGGCAGTTGTCAGTAACTTTTTGAAAGAAACAAAAGGCTTTCTACTTTGTGAAGTATTGTAGTATAATTGTAGAGGAATAGTAAATGAATGAGATAAATAAGCATAATTTCTTACGATCGAAGATTTCCTTCAATAATCTGTAATTATGACGCTTATATTAAAAATCAACAACTAAGTGCTCAAGTGAAACTCTCTTTTTACAATAAGCTGAACAAGCACTTCTCCTATTTGTCCAAACGATCTTATAATAATTTATTGATTCCGGGCGAATATATTCTTACCTTGGCAGTATGAATTATGTTTGTGTTTGCATGTTTGAAAAAAATCACAATTTTTCGTATCACTAAGAGCAAAAACAGTGCAGTGGCATATGCATTCGCTATTGCTATTGCAATGTAACACGTATGATGTTTTTAAATATAAAGAACATTTTTCAATTCGAGATCTCATATTTTGTTTTTCTTTCTCTTGAATTGGAAAACTTGAAATGATGTTGATAAGTACTCCCCATGACTCTGCTGCTGCTTTAGCGAAATCATCCATACAGGATATAGCTCTAAGGTATTTATAACACAAATACAAGAAAAAAATTAGTAATATCAGTAATAACTTACTTTTGTGATCGTGTATTAACACTTTCCAACAAATACAACAATTTACGATCAGACAAAGGTTGAAAGTTAACTTCAGAACAATGTATTTTATACTGGTGTACGGCATGAATTCGTTTGGCTTGAAGTATTTGACGAGGTATAGTTAATGTACTTCCGTTCTCTAACTTGAGACGAGTGCTGCCCCATGCAACAGATACTAGCATATTGGTGTTAATCAACCAAGTAAGAAAATGATCAATTTGATTAGGTTCAAAACGTTGTCGAACGATAGAACTACAAAGTTTCTTTTTATTACATTTATAAATTTAAAACAATACTTACGGTCGTTCCTCTACGTGTAAAGGTGTAGTAGTAGCGACTTTTAAACGTCTAGATTCTTTAACAGCATGCAGAGTACATCCAAAACGACGTGCAATTTCATCAGATGACAGATTCCAAGTTTTTGGAATTAAAGCTAATAAGCGTACTTTCTCGTCATATGGATAGTGCTTTTCTTCATATGCTTTGTACATTTCAATCAAATGGGTGAGAAAATCCTCATCTGTTGTTGTATTACTTTGATTCATTGATGATCGTGGTGCAACTACTCCACCAAGACCAGCAAGCTATGATGCAAAAAACGAAACTATTGTTCATAATTGAAGCGAAGTACTTACATCAATTAAACGATCGGCTTGTCCCGGAGCAATAGCCGATGCAACTATTGTTGTAGCTGCTGAAACACTCTGACGCAGTTTTGCTACCTGGCGTCGAACTGCTCCAGGTGTCTGTTCTTCCAATGATGCTCGTGATTGACTCTTAATCGGTGATTGACCAAGTGCAACTAATATATCATGAGTTTTATCACGTGTACCTTCATCACCAACTGCAAATGATTGAAAAGTTGAAATAGAATCCATATCACTATTATCACTATTTTCATCATCGGTGATATAGTTTATATCGAAATTATCACCCAAAGAAAGATCTTTATACATTTGTTTCCGATGCGTATCACAAATTTTACCACCATAAGGGAAACCAAGAATCTTTTCAACGATATAAAATGGTGCAACACGCAACTTGCCCTTTGATTTTTTTCTTCGTTGTTGAGCTAGATTAGATTCCTGAAAAGTAACATTATGATCAGAATGATGACAACGTTGATTGATACGCCAACCAACTCCAAACGTATATCGATGTAAAGCACAAATTGCGAGATCAACGTTATTGACATCCACATGTTGATACAGACGATTTAAAATTAAATCACGTTCCAGAATAGGATTAGTCATAACTTGATTGCGTGGTATTACATTTAAATGTCGAAGATAATCAGTCATATCATCAGTTAAATCAGCAATCAATACATATGAACTGGACCATTTGTCTAATTCTGAAAAATAGGATGAACTATTTTTCTGAAGTATTGAAGAAAGATATTTACTTTGATCTGGATGAAGACTACACGATTTGTGTGTGTCCCAAAGACAACAGCTTTGAACATTTTCAATTTCATTTTCGTTATTTATCGAAGATATTTCAACGTCCATTTCACTATTTATCTGAAATTTATGAATGAAAAAAAAACAAAAAATCATAACGGTAAGCTTTGGTACAAATTTAATTTATACTATGTCATCTGTTAAAAGATATATGAATAAGATATTAATTTGTTATATATCGCTTTTATGTATGCAAGAATATGATAAAATTACATTATCATAAAGCAAGCTAGTTCGACTTCCTCGTTTGCTTTGATAGGAATACCGAGCATCCACTCTCAATATGTATATATCTTGTTCAAGTGTTTTAATAAAAGTAAACAATGTGATACTTCGTTTATTTTGAACTAAATAAGTGACTTCCATCGGTCAATATGGAGTATCACTCACAACCGACATATTATGGACGGAACGGCAAATCTCAGTATATTTTGATTTCCACATTATAGTTAGTGGAATATTCTATATTTTATTCGAAAAACAATATGTAGTGTGCGTTTTCGAAGAATTTGCTGTACTAAGATATACGAATAATTAATGTTCGTTAATATTATCCTATAATACCTATAATACGGTCAACAAATTTGATTTATACTAATTATCACTGTAAATAGTTATAGATATTCTCTAGATCGTTATCTCAAAAAACGTTTACAGTTTTATAGACAGTATATGCATTATGTACGTTATATGTATGTATTCGGTAAACAAGATATTAAACATCTGATAATTTGAAATTGCTCCTTTATCCGCACATTATCACGCTTAGAATTAGATGCTGAACATGTGAGTATTTCAACAAGAAAATGATTACCTACCATATGCATATCATTATTTCACTAGTTTAATATTATTCGTTTTCCATTTTTCATGAGTGCTCACATTATACAATAAGAATCTTTTCCAACAGATGATGCGTACACATGTATTAAATATAGTTTAGCTATAACAAAAATATTTCTCTTCTCACAATCGCGTTTACGCTTTAATAAGATTGAATGATACATCCAAGATTAATTGAAACACAACATTACAAAAAAGTGTAAGTAATATAAATTATCATAATCTGTGCGGTTTTAGATTCTATATTTTGATTAATTAACCTTAATCATGATAAAAATCATTTTTACTTCAGTTCTAAGCCTTGCATCTTTACAAATTTTTATATTCTCAGATTATATCTTACTTCAAAAAAGTGCAGAATAAAAAGGTTACGTATTCTGTTGATAATAATAGCACGATATCATCATCTCCTCACCTGTTTCATAAATCTTTTGAAATTCAGAGCTTTATTTATAACTCACCAATAAAGTAAAATATCCTGGTTAAAATAAATATTAATTGAATTTGAATGCTAACAAACCAATATTGCGCAACTAGTTATGCTATTCAACATATGTTACGTATCGTAATAAATAATCATATAATTTTTAATAAAAGCTTATAAATTTAAAAACAAAACTAAGTTACACTAGTTAATCAGTTTATGAAAGTCAGTTATTTATTTTTCTGAAAACGAATAAATGAATGTAGTAAGATAATTAAAGCATTGAACATTACCGTAGATGAGAATATTTTTAAGAAATAATATGTAACACGCTCAGGTATGTCTTTCAATCCTGATTATCATGAACATCTAAATATAGTTTCCGAAAAGATACATCTGATTCATCATTGTACGGAAAATATGCTAACAACTCGTATAAAATGATCCAACACACAGATTTTGCATCTTTTTATTTATATAAATTCATTCTTTTTATCAATGAATCATTCTTACTTAGTAAATATGTTATCTTTAATTGTCACATAAATTATAATGATGATAAACTAGATTTTCGAATTAGTTTCATGCAACACACATGATAGGCTGATATTTATCTACCGCGTTCAAATAATAAAGAGGGTCAAATACAATGCTAGATGACACTGATCTCCGATGGATCTTTGGAATAATTTTGTTCACATCAATGACGTTCGATTTTACGCATTCTCTAAAAGAATTATTAAAGTTCCTGCAATAATTTCTGAAAGACTGATTTACTCTGTTATTTTTCACATACACTGAATGAATTATTGATATATACATCAATTATATACGGTTTTTCAATAAGGACGCACCAATTTCGCATGTAAATACATGCGAAATTGGTGCGTCCTTATTGAAAAACCC